AGAGAAATGCAAACCAGAACTACAGTGAGGTGTCTCACCAGTCAGAATGGCTGTCACTAAAAATTCCATGAACAATAAATGTTGGAAAGGGTGTAGAGAAAAGGTAACCCTCCTACACTGCTGATGGGAATGTTGTTTGGTGCAGCCATTGTGGAAAACAATATGGAGAGTCCTCCAAAAACTAAAAATAGACTTACTGTATGATCCAGCAATCCCACTCCTGGGCATATATCTGAAGGGATCTCTAATTTTAAAAGATACATGCACCCCAGTGTTCATAGCAGCACTATGTGCAATAGCCAAGACATAGAAACAGCCTAAATGTCCATTGAGATGACTGGATAATAAAGCTGTGGTATATTTGTACAATGAAATACCACTCAGCCATAAAAAAGAATAAAATAATGTCATTTGCAGCAACATAGATGGACCTGGAGATCATCATTCTAAGTCAAGTAAGCCAGAAAGAGAAAAAATATACCATATGATATCACTTATATGTGGAATTTGAAAAAAGACACAGATGAACTTGTTTACAAAACAAACAGACTCACAGACATAGAAAACAAAACATGGTTATCGGGGGGAAAGGGGATGGAAAGGGATAAATAGGGAGTTCAAGATTTGCAGATACTAACTACTATACACAAAATAGATAAACAAGAAGTCTCTACTGTATAGCACAGGGAACTACATTTTCAATATCTTGTAGTAACCTAAAATGAAAATGAATATATGTATGTAAATATATGACCGAAACATGCTGTACGCCAGAAATTGACACAACATTGTAAACTGACTATACTTCAATAAAACAACAAGTTGGAAAGAGATATAAGGTAAAGAAGGCAGTTAACTTAAAAAATAGGACTTCTTTAAATATATCTTTTAAAAATTTTTCACCTTTAGAACATATGTAATTTTCATACTCAAAAAAGAAAATTACCCTAAAGTTAAATGTATACATATATCTAATCCTAAAAAGCTGAATGGAACTGAAATGAATCACTCAACTATATATCAGGTTAATGACACAAACACACAGAGCTAATATTGTAATTGACTTTTACACTCAGCATTTTGACCATATATCCTTGATGGAATATATTCTTAAGAAAAATTGAACTACAAAAAGCCTTGTATTTTATTCATTAATCTAATTGTTAGAAATATTATTGACATTAATTTTAAAGTATCTGTCATATCTGTGTGTGTGAGAATAATGCAAATAAGAAATTATATAGGACCTAATTTAGGGACTTCTGCAGATAATTCTTAAAAGTAAGATGAGGAATAGTATTAATTTTCTTTCATTCATTTTTTAATGAAACTATATAGTTTGGCTTAAAGTTTAGATTCAGTGTTAATGTGAAAACATACCAGAGCAGACTCATTGGCCCCTGACTGCTTGTTCAAGAGAGCGCCCCCAGCTGCTGCCGCCTCATCTCCAAGTGCTGCCTGACTGGCCTGGATTCCTCTGGGTGAGGGCTTGACCTTCACCTTGACTGCTGAACCAGGAGCATCAGCCCTAATGCTCGACCTGACCTAACCAGACCCAAAGACACTCCAGCTTCCCTCATTCCTTGTGATTCAGATGATACAGGGCCTCATAGAGTGTGGCATTTGGTGTCCTCAGTGGCTTCCTAGAAAGGTCCAGGCAACACACATGAAAGTTCAGGTCCACTAACAACTCATGGGGCAAACTTTGACAACGAGCTAGGAGGGCACATCAAAATTAATTTCTCTCACTTTCTTCCCTGCTAAGGGCTGTTCTGAGTGAGGCACAGTGGTTTCTGAAAGCCTGATGGGAAGCTGTCCTACATGACTGAGCTGCTTCTACTGCCTCAGCTCTCTTTCACCCTCACCCTACATGCCTTAGGTTTGCCTTCCAGTAAAGCCTTAACAATTAATCTGCCTGAGACTCTGTTTTGTAGACAATCAGGGCTATGAAAGCAATTATGTTAATACAGTTAGGAACAAAAAGTTTTTAGAGTAAAAGGAAAGATAGGCATGAAAGCAAAGATAAGTTAAAAAAAATCTTATAATTAAACTTGAATTGGAAGTATTTGCATGAATTGACCAGAAAAAAAAATGCCTGATTCCCTACTTTTATCCACTGAAAAGTAATCATAACTTAAAAGCCATGAGTATATTACCTGGATTATAGTTTGTATTTATTATATTTCAACAAAAGCACCTGAAAAGTGAGTGTTTCTAAGTCTGAGGCAGGCTTTATAAGACTACATTTCAATAATGATAAATATATATATATATATATATATATATACACACAAAAAAAGATTAATCTGATGTTTTTCAGAGGTCAAAATGCAAGCTATAAAAGAATATGAGTTATGTTGAAAGGCCATAGACACTAAAGGGAACTGAATAGCCAAAGATGGCAAGATTTGAGTATCAAAAAGAATAATGAGTACAATTTATTGGAACATACTCATTATGTAAGAATCCCTAAGTTCATGACACATAATTTATGAGAGGGAGAACCAACAAACCAAAACGCAGTTCATTAACACTTTATTTAAAAGCAAAAAACTAAGAATAAAAATTTATCTTGCTCTTCCTTTATGAACTAAATTTGAAGATGACCAAATAGCCCTGGCTAGTGAGGAAAAGTTGTTTTGAAGAAGTCTCACTGAAAGACGTTAATGAAAGGGTAAATGAGAAAATCACAATTTTGCAACCTTTAGTGAAATAATTAATATTTATTTTGGATCTTTTTAGAAAGTGAATTTCCAACTTGCTTCGCTAGGAAAAGAGCTTTCTATAATAACAAAAGGATTATGTAAATAGATTAAAGGAATATTGATTTATAACCTGGAGACTAGGAACTCTTTAATAGCAAATTATATTTTTGAGTATATTTGTTATATATTGTTCATTTAAACCTTTAAAATATTTTTCATGGAAAGTTGATTTTATTCACCAGATCTGTGATAATTTAGCCACTGATTGTGACCTCATTGATCAAACTCATAATAGAGTAGTCTAAAAGGAAAATGTGGAACCTTTTAACGTATGGAGTGTTGCTAAAATACTTTCTTCTTACAAAATATTATTATTTTAATGCTTCACACATTTGTGTCATCCTTGCCCAGGGGCCATGCTGATCCTCCCTGTATCATTCCAATTTTAGTCTATGTGCTACTGAAGTCAGCACACAACACATTAAAGGGAGAATAAACAGTGGTTCTGGCAGATTAAAGGTAAAGTTTAGAGGAGAAGCTTAATGGGTCAGATCGATGGTCAATGTTTCAGAAGTAAATGGCCACAGTGTGAAGGGTATTTAGGAGATGAAGTGAGTAGAAGATCAGGTAGACAGCAGTTTAATGACCTGAATTTGGCCAGTGGGGGAAGAATGGACATGACATTCTGAATTTGAGAGGTGCTTCAGAGGTAGCATTAAGAGGACTGGCCCTTGGCTGAACGAGGGTGGAGGGTGGACAAGAGGAAAAGGGAAAAGTCAAACCATCATCCCAATGTAATAGTTTAGGTGAATGCTTACCTAGATTTTCAATAAGATACAACATACAGATTGCAGGGGGTTGAGCAGTGACTAAGAGATGAGGAAAAGCTTTTTGAAAGCTTCATATTACTGTATGCAAGCATGACATTTAAGACCCTTAAAAGTCTTAACCTCCCTCCTTCTTCCCATCCTCATCTCTCTTTACTCTCTAATAAACTTATTCCTTACCCTCCACTGCACTATCCCAGGGATCGAAAAAGTCAGTGGTGCAAACACATAATGGAGTCTCCCACTTTATGTTTTTATTTATACCATTTTTTCCCTCTGTGAAATAATCCCTCCTTCACATCTCTGCTGTTAAATCACCCTGGTTCTTCAAAGCTCAACATAAGTTTTGTGTACCTCGCCCCCCAGGCAGAGTCAATTACTTCTTTTTCTATGTCTCCATAAAACTTAATTCAAAACTTTATTACAGCGCTTATAACAAGTTATTCTAAATTAAATCGCATGTTTCAGTCTGTTCCACTAGAATGTGCTCAAAGGCTCGACTTGCTGTGTTGCATGAGTGAAAGTCTCCTTATGCAAATTGTGTGTTACTTAATATTAATTAATTAGGACATATTACCTCCTCTTGTTATTCACAGTGCTAAGCTGCTGGTGATGCAACAAGTCAGACTGTTAGGGTCCTTGCCCTCTCAAAGCTAACGCTTAGTAGGTGACACAGAGGATCAAAGAGGCTAATTAAAAAACAGGTGTCATAAGTTTAATAATCATTATAATGGTGGTGATGATGAGGTTAGCTCTTGGGTACTTTCATGTGCCAAGCATATTGCCAGCGCTGTACATGTTATATATAATCTAACCCTCACATAAACTCAGGGACAGAGGAAGTACAGAGTACTTTTATAGATGTTGGTAGGAAGACACATAACTGAGACTTTGGGAAACAGTGAGAGCTTCCCAAACAGTGATTTCCAAGTGAAGACCTGAAAAAAATGATTAGTGTTTAGCCAGGTAAGAGACAGACACAAAGAGACCCATGGAAAGAGAGAGAGAGAGAGAGACAGAGAGAGGAAGAGAAGGAGGAACAAGTGTATGTATGTGTGTGTTCAGGTGAGGGTTAGAGAAAGGAAAAGTGTTTCCAATAGGAAACAGAGGCCAAGGGCCAATCAATGTATGTATTTGGTGGACGTCAGGCTTTCTACTTCTAAAGTCAGACCATCAATTTCATGGGGCTTAATTCCTTTGGAAACTGCCACAGAAGCTAAAAGCTGAACCAGATCCATTGTCCTCATTTAACAGATAGGAGCACTGAATCCCAGTGAAAGGAAACAAGTTCCCAACGTCATGCAGAGTCGTTGGCAAGAGCTGGGTTCCCGGGGCCAGGCTCTTTCCAGAACACCATGCTGCTGCCTCTGCGGATTGTGAAGTGCTTTCTACTTCAGCCAGCCAACAGGAAGTGTATGCAGACAAATAACATGTTTTATGATTCCCAGCCACCACATCCCAGCTCACGTTCTCCTCTTGATTATTATTTAATAAGAAAAATATAAATTATGAACTATAACAGTACGTATCTGTACTTAATCTCAAAACAGATGTGATCCAGAAATGATTCCGCTCAATCTTCCCCTCAACACAGCAGTTCTGCCATGAAAATGTGTCATGACTTTTTATCTTGTAGGCTGTAATTCCACCATAATCTCATCCCTGATGGACAGTCTTAGTATATTCTTATTTTGAGGTGGTTTATATCAGTTGTAAGAGCGTGGCCTTTGGAGACAGGCAGACCGGGGTCCCCATGCTGAGTCTGCCGCTAACCAGCTGTGTGACCTTAGGCCAGTTGCATAACACCTCCACAGTGGTAGCCAGCCGGCTTCTTTGTGTTCTTGTGGGAATTAAGGGACAATACACATGCAAAGTGCAAAGCATGGTGCTTGATACGTTGTACATTTTGAAAATACTTGACTTATGGGTATATTTTTAGTACCAAATCATAAAATCACAGCTAAAAAATCAGCTACTTTAATCCTTCCAGTCTGCTGATAGCATCTGTAGACTGGCGAAGTTCTCACTTACTAAAATAAAGTATCTGTTTAGTTCCTACCGCCAAACTGTGGACTTTGTAAGAGCAAAGGCTATGAATTTCCTCTGTGCTCTGGCAGTTACCACTGTGACAAGCGTATCGTGAACATAACTAGAAACATTGGTTGAATTATCTAATTATTTGGTGTCTGAGCCAAAGCTAAAACTCAGGCTTTCTGATATCTAACTCTCTATTTTTTTTTACTGCATCAAAAATAGTGATAAAATAAAAATCACTGATTCTTCATTTTGTAAAGCATATTCTGGGGGAAATTTGGGCTTAGAAATTTCAGGTTAATTCTGTGATGTTCCAATATGTTGCTTTTCATTCTGCCTGAACCCTCTGGTACAAATTCACATGAATATTAATCGTTGGGAAGGGAGTGAGGCCTTCAGTTGAACAGTTAGGAAGTGAGGCAGCTCTTAGCATGATGCCCTGCTGGGTGGTGAATATATGGCATGGCTCAGGCACTGTGTTTATGCATTTTAAATTGCTTTCTTTATAACTCCAGTCCAGAGGAAATAGCATCTCTGGGCCAAACTGGGGCAGGGCATTCCAACCCAGTGAGGTAGAATTGAGAAATCTCAAACCGACATCATACCCCTTGAACTTGGCTGCTGCTAAATATGTAGAAATAAATCCCACAATGAGCTCCTTCCACATACTATACTCACCAAAACCTTAACGTTATAAAGAGAGCATGAGCAAATGTAATTTCCAAACCCACTTAAGTTGCTTAAACTGTGGAGTTCCTGGTCTTAATTTTAGTAGCAACATTGACAGCTGATGGAAGTAACACTGTGCCTTGCAGATGTGAAATACCATAGAAACTTGACCAGTTTCTTTTGGGTTGACATCAGATTGTCCCAAAAGTGGAGTGTGAGTTTTTTTAATTCATTTACTTGAAAAACCCACTCTTACATGCCCCCCAAAATGAGTAGTGGTTCCGACGCCTCTCTCTGCACTTCCCTCTTGAGTCAGTGATAAAACATACATGGAACACATGATCCCTGTCTGCCAAATATGGTTGGAAGTATAATATTATCCTTTAACTTAACATTTATGAAACAATTGGCTTTAAGAATGGGGGTGATGTGATGGTTTTCAGACAGTAAACTGTGCTAACTGCTTGAAAATGCACACAATTTAGGAGCTGACAGGTTCAATTCTCAAGCAGAGTAGGTGCAATGTGATGTTTTGGCACTGGTTAAATATTCAGTCATTCCACTGCTCTGTCTGTGGGAAATATGCTAATAGCTTGCTGCTATAGCCTTTGAACTCCCAGGGCAAGTGAAGCCCAGAATTCCATACCCAGTGGGTCTCATCACATTGGTTGGATGCAGATAACCTTGGCTTTAATATTTTGATTGCTCCATATTAATGGCACATATTTTAGCTCCATCATCACCCAACAAATTAAAGTGAGGTTTTAAAAATAGTATGTTTCTTTATATTTCATTTCTAGCAAACAAAACAAAAATTACTAAGAAAAAGAAATAAACCTCTTCTTGTGGAAAAATTTTAGAAGTCCTTGATACTAGGAAAGCGTATATTTTTAAGGAAAGGACAGCCAAAGGTCTGGTTTGGCATAGGGAATAAAATTGCAAGTTAAGCAATGGAAACAGACTATTTTTTCCCAGTTACAAAAGAAATAAAGAAAGAAATCTGTGGCCTGTGGTAAGGTGTCCCTCTTATGAGGTTTGTGACTCAGACTGGAAAGCTCACTGAAGAATAAGAAATCGATTTTACTGGATGAGTTTTCTGGGTATGTTTGAATGTAGACACTGAGCAAATATTTTAAAATATTTATATTAAACTTGTAATGTTTGACACAATTGAAATTTGAACTTTACTTTGTGGATTCCTATAACAGTGAGGGATTTTCTCTCCTTTTCTGGTTTGTGTCCATGTTGGACTTTTATTTTTCTTTCTGGTTGGACTACCAAAGGAAGGGAGTGTAAAAAATGGATTGGGATAGTGCACAAAATTTCCCGAAGTAAATACAAGGTGTGGACTTTGTTGTTGTTTCTCTCAGATAATGAACTTCTTGGCCACATAATAATCATGTTTATTTTCTCATTATATTACAAGTGTATGGTTTCACTGTGTGCCAAGTATTTGCCCTTTGTGGATATAGACACACCTTCTCAATCAGACAACTGAGGTGAATAAATATGCACAAGTTGCTATAATGCTGACAGTCTCCTCTGGCAGCCCATCTCATGTTTAGACTGCTTTTAGTTGGTCTTCATTTGGGGTTAATGTACTGAGCCAGGACACAGGCATAAACATTAACCCTGGCACTGCAACCTTATTGGCTTGTACTGGGCTAGAATTGATGTGGTCTCTTCTAGAATTAAGACTCCAAGGGGAAGGTATAGCACAGTGCTAGGGTACATGCCTAGCATGCATGAGGTCCTGGGTTCAATGCCCAGTGCCTCCATTTAAATAAATAAATAAATAGGCCTAACTACCTCCACCCAAAAAACAGCAACAGCAACAAAAAGACATCAGTTGTAATTTAAATCAAAGTAATCACACTGGCCATTTTGGTTCAGTTTAACTCAGATATGCCTTCAATTGGTCAGCGGTGCATTCACCAGCAAGT